TTTTTGTGGTCCACAGGATTTCTGTTTGCAGTGATAACCACCATATTCCATACATACTGTAAAAAGACTAATTTTCACTGGGTTTAAATTTCACTGATTTACCATTTCAGGCACATTAGTGGGTTTTAAATTCACGGTTTCGTCATTTTGATAATGTGTTCTATGCTAAATTTTACATATTCACTGGATTTTAATTAAGCGCATTTTCCAGTCAGCGAAATAAGCTAAATTAAAACCCAGTGAATAATTACCCCCTTTACAGTACTTTAAAACTCTTATATTAAAATACTGTAACATACCGGTATGCTGCTAGTAATTCTCACAAGATGAAGATTTGGTCAAGTTTTCACAAAATTTACTACGATTCCAAATTTTTAGAGCCCTAGTGTAATTTTCACAACTTTAACTGACTTGCAAAATTAGTTCACAACATCTTATGTTACCAGTCCAACAAACAGGTACATCTATCGCAATCTCATCAATTTTACATTTTCTCAACCAAATTGAATGCATTATAATGAAACTTACCCAAAGTTGAATGTTCCACGTGTGTTCGTTTCATTTCAGGCTCAATGTCGCTGATTTCAAGTGACGGGAGACAAGATAAATCTTGACTCGTACTCTGTAGTTTTGATAGCTCAATGCCTAGCAACAGTAGAAACAGACAATAATAATGATGATGACATAAGATCGCTGATTTCAAGTGACGAGAGACAAGACAAATCTTCACTCGTATTCTGTAGTTCTGATAGCTCAATGCAAGATGCACAGAAGAATTTAAAGCCCTGGTCTGTCTTCCCAGGGATCACAGTAGAGTCTACAAAAATATGACATGCACCAGTAATTAAATATGCAAGACGATGATACAAATTTTGAATGAATTAAACCTGTTCTGTATCAGAATGACTATTTATGTGTACCGTATATTAAAGGGCGGTGGTCGTCGCGCTGCACATGTGCGACATTTGTGTTGATAAACATTGATTTTCCCACAATCCAATGCGCTCTTCTAATGCAAATCACAAGTATGAGGTTTGACCTAGGCACGACTTGCACTAATTACCGCCGGTGACTCCTTCGATACCTTCCAATCACCAAAAATACCTAAGTAAAGCTCAGTTTGTACTCGTTGATCTGCAAAGTCGTCATCTTTGTTTATATGAGACCCATATATCTTGTGCATGCGTGGTACAACGACTACTGCCCTTTAAGGTCGCCATACATAGTCTTTGTTAAGTTTAAAAGAGATCAGTTAAAGCACACCCGAAATGACTCCAGGCAGACAGACAACTTCATATTAATGTTCCATAATAAATGAAATGTAAAGACTAATGTGAGATATTCCATAAAGTATATGTACATTTGTTGAATGTCATTAATTATGCAAATTATGCAAATTAAGTCATTAAAACAAACAAAAATGTCTCATATTTGGGCGATTGAAAACCATTTTTTCTTGTTTTTCCATACAAGATGGACATCAAAAATGGCAAACAATGAAGGGGACATGCAAATCCAGAAAAGTACAAACGTAAATATACAGATGAAAAATGTCACAAAAACATTGTTGTCATGGTATTTTACGCACACTGTATATGTTACATGGGACCAACATCAAACATTAAAATTTAAATAATGATAATTTCCTACCATTATTGTAAATATCTGTCATCTGTTCTTTGCCAAGGCTCCCCAACATTTTTCCTAACATTTTCTTCTCCTCTTCACTTTTCTTCTGCTCATATTCTTCATCCGGGCTCATTGTCAGAGTTAATTTATGCAAATTGTTTTTGAAATATTCAC